CAGAAGTAACTAACCTTTTAACATTCTATAAATATTACTCTACATTATAACACAACTAGAATGTGAAAAAGTTATTAACTTCTGAGTAAAGATGGCTTGTAAACTATAAATATTACTCTACATTATAACACAACTAGAATGTGAAAAAGTTATTAACTTCTCAATAAAAAGAACTTGAAAATACTGATAGACTTTTGGACACACCCGATGATTTGTAGGCTCTCTACTGAACAGTTAAGTTTTCAAATAATATCCATATATAGAAACCTCACCTGTTTTCTTTCATCACTAAAATCTCTGTTAGTATCAATTCTTTCTTGGGCTGCTGAAGTAGGTCCATTGACTTGATAGCAACATTGTTATTAGTTTCTTTATTTTTCGCTATAAACACAGTGCCTGATGCTCTAAACAAAGTAAAATAAACAATAAATAACACAATTAAAAACATCTTAATTAAGGTCAAAAGATGACCACTAAAAACACGTAATATCGCTATTTACAAAAGTTCCAGTAGAAGATGTTATTAAGTGTTTTGAAAATAAATTGTTAGAAACTAAAATCCCTGCAGTTGAAACTATAGATATAGTTAATTTAACAAAGGTGTGTGTGTGTGAAAAACCCATTTTTTTCAAGTTAACAATAATGTTTATAAACCACATATTTCGATAAGATATGTAGATGACACATTTTTGGTGTGGAGATATGGTTATAAGGCATTAATTGAGTTTGTGTGATATTTGATTAGTATAAAACCATCTGTATAATGTACTTAAGAAAAATAATACAAAACGTGACCATGGGTCATGAAGAGAGATGCTTGATGGTGTTTTCACACTACGGTCACTTAAAACAAATCATATCTGAATATAAGCTAATATTACAAATATATCTTGCACAGATCACACTATGGAAAAAACCATTAAACTCCAGAACAATTTTGTTCTATTTGGACTAATTCTCTGGGTGTGACGTACTACTTCAATAAACTGGTTTAGCAAAATAAAAATATTGGTCAGCTAAAACAAATTATATCTGAGATTGCACAACTATTTTGACCACTGTAGTCACTAAAGCAAGTGATATTCGAGATTACACTAGTGTTTTGACACCACAATCTGCAAACATACACACATAAAAATGTACATATTTCGTTCCTAAAACATTACAATGCCTGATAACATTGTTATGTTATAGCCTTCCACAGGAAGGCTTGCAACCAAACTACTTTGATGCTTACTTCCCATCTTATTTAATCAAAATTTGTCGATGTGCCCCTACGTTATCGTGAGTTATATTCTGGTATTTCCCTGTATCACTATCCCAATGAAACACTAGTTAACAAATAAACTTTATCGTGTATTTAGTTACTTGTGTACAGAAACACATTATGTTAATACAATTGTAAAATGTCAAACAATGATTTATAAGTATAATGAAACTTATTTCTTATACAGAACAAACATGTTTCAACTGATCAACATACTGTAGAAACATTTAGTATGTTCTCTACATAAAATCATTTTCATTAAACTCACAAATCATTGTCAGTTTACTATCATTTAGTTACTGCTACAAAAATATATTTCCTGGAATGTTACCATTTTGAAGATTCATCAGAAAAAACATTCTGCATAAAAACTTTCAACTGGTTAAAAGTTATTTCTGTTCATATTGTGTACAGTGTAGTACCATACAAGACGTATTATGAACATTTCTTGTGTACAGCACAGTAATGTGCAAGACGTATTATGAACATTTCTTGTGTACAGCACAGTACCGTGCAAGATGTATTAAGAACATTTTGTGTATAATAGTAACGTACAAGACGTATGATGAACATTTCTTGTGTACAGCACAGCGTGCAAGATGTATTATGAACATTTTGTGTATAATAGTAACGTACAAGACGTATGATGAACATTTCTTGTGTACAGCACAGCGTGCAAAATGTATTACGAACATTTCTTGTCTACAGCACAGTAATGTGCAAGACGTATTATGAACATATCTTGTATAATAGTAACATACAAGAAGTATAATAGTAACATACAAGATGTATTATGAACATATCTTGTATAATAGTAACATACAAGAAGTATTATGAACATTTTTATAAATAGTTATTTTATTTCATTATAATTTTCAATAAATCTCAAACTTAATATTTAAACAAGTGTTTAGGTTTTACTGATTAGAAGTGTTATGGACTTACCCAGACCCGACTTTCTTGTCGAGAGTATATGTAACACGTGGATTTCCTGTATTTACAATAGTCTCTAAGAAAGGGGAAGAAAATTAACACTTTATATGAACATCTTAAAACTTCATACAAATATTCACGGAAAATTAACCACAATGGCCAATATAAGTGAATCATAACAAAAATAAAACTGACCGTAGACAAAAATTAAGGATAAACACAGGAATAACAACAAATTACAGTAAACCACAACAGATCACTATGCAACAAACAAAATTTGAATGAAACATATAAATATACAGTGTTTTCAATCTAAAATCAGTTAGAAGCTACCATGTTAATTTCAGGAGGTACTCTAGCAGAGGGACCAGGAGAAACTCCCAAATTTTAAGAAAAGTTTACTTTTTTTTACCTCACCTTTAAGGTTTTAAAAGAAAGATTTCATAAGGCAGTACCATAAAAATTATCTAAATAAGTTTACAACAGAATTATTTATAAATTTAATTAAATCCTTCAAATACCAATTATGTTTCTGCAGACTATACAATCTGGAGCATAGGTTAAATCATAAAACATGTATTTACCACATCAGTCCTTTATCATAAGTGTATTATTGAATGGATGAGACCAGAATAGAACAGCCAAATTATTCACAACTGTTTAGAAGGTTGTAATACTACCAAGGTTTGTGGATATGATAAAACCCTAACACAAATTAATAGTATTCGGGCAAAAGTAGGTTTTGTGAGTAGTAATAACATACTGAACGTGTAAAGCCAACAATGGGACACAATGGCATAAACAAATAAGAGAAATACTATGTCCTGCTCCTGTAGTGGTACCTTCTTGGAGAAGCAGCCCAGAGAAATGAAATGACATAGCTCAGAGGCAGTAGCCCATATTTATCCATATTGGAAATGGCCACAGAGTTACACAATCAGGAAAATTATTTACAAGTATATGTAACATGCACTGGAAAACACTACTTACTCTACATGGAATTGACGACCACTAAAACCCTAATCAACCTCATAATGAAAGATTCTCCTGAATGGAAATGAGGTAAATCGAAACACCTGAAACACAAATAATGAAGCAGGCAAGTTCAATAACAGATGAATACAGTCTGACAGAACAGAAACAATGTAAAGTGAAACACCTGAAACACAAATAATGAAGCAGGCAAGTTCAATAACAGATGAATACTGTCTGACGGAACAGAAACAATGTAAAGTGAAACAGGTAAGTTCAATAACAGATGAATACAGTCTGATGGAACAGAAACAATGTAAAGTGAAACACCTGAAACACAAATAATGAAGCAGGCAAGTTCAATAACAGATGAATACAGTCTGACAGAACAGAAACAATGTAAATTGAAACACCTGAAACACAAATAATGAAGCAGGCAAGTTCAATAACAACAGACAACCTTGTGGTAAGAAAGATGTCAGACAGTTATTCTGAGAAAAGTAATCAGGAGAACAAGAACAACCAATAATGGTGCAGAAGAAGAACATCCCAAAATAAGACAAATTCTAATGTGCATGGTAGAAAACTGACGATGAGTTAAAGGGAAAAAAAGACATGTGGAAGACTCACCCCACGTGGAAGACTCACCCCAAGTGGAAGACTTACCCCACGTACTAAACTAAGAATTAAAAAGGATGAGTGGAAATTGAAAACAAAATTTAAAAATATCTGTTTTCCCAGCATAAAGAGGAGGCAATAAGAGAATAAGGTAAAGAAATTGTATCTCATGTCACCAGATGTACATGTCATTACATGTCATCTCATGTAACTGAAATAGGTTCAATATTGAAAATATATAACATTCCAAATCATGTCACCAGATGTAACTGAAATAGGTTCAATATTGAAAATATATAACATACCAAATCATGTCACCAGATGTAACTGAAATATATAACATACCAAATCATGTCACCAGATGTAACTGAAATAGGTTCAATATTAAAAATATATAGCATACCAAATCATGTCACCAGATGTAACTGAAATATATAACATACCAAATCATGTCACCAGATGTAACTGAAAATATATAACATACCAAATCATGTCACCAGATGTAACTGAAATAGGTTCAATATTGAAAATATATAACATACCAAAAAGAGAAAAATGAGAGTTTCATCAGAATTAGAGCAAAAAGAAAAAAAATGGCTCTGATCAAAAACAAAAAGTAACTGTCATGCAAGTTAAGTGTCCACATGAACAGGATACCCTCAAGAAATATGAGTAAACAATGACACGAATACATCTACATCACAGTTGACACCACATTTACAAGTTTCTTTGCATATTATGGAAGTTAAATAAATTCCAATAGCAGCAGAAACAGTTGGATTACAAAGAAGATCAAAGCAAAGTTAACAAAACCTATATCATGATGTAATATCCCCCGATACCTGTACAATAAGCGACATGGAAGGTGGGAGAGTGGAGAATAATGTGTATCTTATGCATGCTCTGCAATAAGAAACATTTGAAATGTTTAGTCATGTTGCATGCTCTGCAATAAGAAGCATTTGAAATGTTTAGTCATGTTGCATGCTCTGCAATAAGAAACATTTGAAATGTTTAGTCATGTTGCATGCTCTGCAATAAGAAACATTTGAAATGTTTAGTCATGTTGCATGCTCTGCAATAAGAAACATTTGAAATGTTTAGTCACGTTTTGTTGATGAGTTCTAACTGATCAAGGAAAGTCTTTCAGTATTTCAGACGAAAGTCTACCTGATCTGAGCTATTTTCGATGACGAGGAACCCACTTTGAGACTAATAATGCTTGGAGACGGGTAATGAAGAAAAATTTTAATACAAGTTTAACATAACAGCAAATGTACAAACGTTGTATGTTTGCTGTTATGTTAAACTTATACTAAAGTTTTTCTTCATTACCCATTCAAGCCGTCTCCAAGCATTATTGATCTGAATTATATATAAAACATAAAACATTCTAACCAATAAAGCAATAAATATTTAAGTTTATTTTATTTTAAAGAATACTACATCTTATGTAATAATTTAATACAATTTCTCAGAGTTTTAAAGATCTGTTCACTCAACACTACAAGATAATGCATTACACCATTCCTAAAAAACCTCATTAACAAAAAAAAACAATGGTACTGTTAACTTACTTAGTGTTTCCATCACCTCATTATCTGTCATTTTTTTCTTAGCTTCTTTCTCTCTTAAATTGGGAACTTGAGCCTGATTTATCTGACTAGAGGAAATAGAAGCATCTTCCATCTTGTCAATAGCTTGATCAAGATCTCCTTTCTATTAGATAATTTAAAAAATCTAATTAAAGAAAATACACATTTATGACCGAAGTCCTTTTTCATGAAAAACTGGCTTACAATAAATACCTCATCTTGATACAACAGGCCAATCATTCGTTAATAAACACTACATTAGTATCTTGATATTACAGACCGATCGTTTGTTAATAAACACTACATTAGTATCTTGATATTACAGACCAATCGTTCGTTAATAAACACTACATTAGTATCTTGATATTACAGACCAATCGTTTGTTAATAAACACTACATTAGTATCTTGATACTACATGCCAATCGTTTGTTAATAAACACTACATTAGTATCTTGATATTACAGACCAATCGTTTGTTAATAAAACACTACATTAGTATCTTGATACTACATGCCAATCGTTTGTTAATAAACACTACATTAGTATCTTGATACTACAGACCAATCGTTTGTTAATAAAACACTACATTAATATCTTGATACTACATGCCAATCGTTTGTTAATAAACACTACATTAGTATCTTGATACTACAGACCAATCGTTTGTTAAT